TGGTAGGCCTTCTAACATATTCTAATTTATGCATCAACTGCAGTTAAAATGCCGACACAGTATCACATTTCCTCACAGGCTAATAAGATTCAGCAGCAGTAAACCAGAGCAAGCTATAACCTTATTTCAAGCAAACTGACATTTCTTGATATTTTATGTGTCTTTGAAACTATGGAAGCACGTTCAGCAGTAAGGACATGAAGCAAAATAAAATCTATATAATCTTATTCAGTTTTTCTGAGCACTCTTCAGGAAGACAAGAAGAGCCTCAGGTGACACAACCTAGGCCAATTGTTTCACTTATCAAAACCAGATAATATAAGCCCTAAACAAATCTGGCTGTGTGGTTATTTTGACCTCTTATTGAGCTGTTGTCAATTGTCACTTCGACTCACATTTTTATATGAAGAAGTCTAGACATTATTGCATTGCAAGTGGAGGTTTATAAGGCTAAATGTCCCATATGTCAGCCTTTAGATTACTGTACAATATCTGGAACACAGAACTTCTCTAGTTAATTATCAAATGGAAATATAGTCCATATGCAGGAGAGTAATATATCATGAACTTTTTTTGTGTTGTCAAAAGTGGGAAGATTTATTTATCTGGAATACTTATAGCAACTTCTTTTTAAAAACAATTCATTAAACCCTTACATAAAATAATTAAACTTACCCTCAGACAAGAATTGAGGGCAAGATCTTTCTAGGTTCAGTAGTAGATTCCTGCAAAACCACACTCCCTAAGAAGAGCTGCTGGCACCCTAGCTGGCCCCATGCCCATTAGAATTTGTTTAAAAGCAAATAAAATTGTGTGAAATTTTACAATAGTTTAGTAATGCCCCATAATGCCTTGAGCTCTCAAATTAGAATGCTGAATGCAACCTTTAATGAATATATCAACATTCATGTATGTCATGTAAAAACACCAACTTGCCCAGTGTAAGGGCTGAGCCTGGTGAGGCAGGAAGTTCTCAACTTCCTACTTTCTCAACTCAGATAGAATCATTACAGTCTACTTTTATCAACAAGGTTGCAATCCTGCTAATTTCTCATATTTTCTTTAAAAAGTGTAGAAATTCACCAGATTACTTGGGGATAGGATAAATGTTGCATTTAATTTTAAGGTTTATAATCTGAGTATAGAGTCCATTCTAAGTAATCAGCAGAGCCAGACATTTTGAAGAGTGTAGCCATTGTTTCAGTACTTCTTAAAATGGCCATATGGCTACACATCTAATCGTTTTACCGTAAAATGCCTTATATCTTTTTACCCATCTTTTCATTACTAAATATTAAATGTTTAATGATAGCCTGGGATACAGTAGAGGGATAATCTAGATTTAGGTCATGAAATGAGAGATGAATTTATTAAAACCTGACCAAAGAAATCATCTTGCTTAGCCTGGAAAAAATGAATAACAACGTGATCTATGAAGAGCTGAAGGTTTGACTGCCAGAATATGATTAATCTAAGATATACAGGAGAGACAGGCCCAGTCCTGCAGTTAGGTTAACTGAGATAGTAAACTTAGCTGGTACCTGCTAGAGGTAGAGACTGGAGAATTTGGAAGATGGAAGAGATATGTAACTCTAAAACTAGCCTTATGGTTTCTGGTGCAGTGGGGGACACTGCCCCATTGCCATTATTTACTGATCCAGTACAAGAAATCGGATTGCCATTTTTGCCTTTTGCCTCTGGCAGCATAGGATCTTGGACCAATCCTAACTGGAGACAAATCTTGATAAATGGAAAGGAACAGTTGTTACTCAGATGAATAGTTGTATATAAGAAATGGGGAAGCTATTTCTCCTGTAAGCAAACACCAAACTTAAGCCAAGTGCACTTCATGTATATTAGGAGAAAGCAATTACAAACAGATCTGTGATTTTAAATTGTTAAAGCATAGTCATGTGCTGTTTGCATTCACTGCTGGCACTGTATTTTAAATGTAATTATACTTCAAAAATACCACCATACAGCTGCTTTTGCTGTCTGAGCTACATTTTTACAATTCTTTCCATCCAGTTCAATGTTTATTCCGGGAGACGTGTAAATCCTGAAATCACACTTGTGCTGGAAAATGACTAACAGTAAATAAAACTTTTTTTGAGGGCAGGGAGAATAATGTGTGCTTTTGCTAGCTCCAAGAAAGATTCATTTAACCAATGCTATGACATAAAATAAGAGAGCCACCAGCCTAGTTAAATTGGTGGCTGGAGGATAGGCCTAGATGGAGGCTGCGGCTTTGATTCTCTGCCATCGCTGAGCAACAGAAAATCTCAGAAATACCTGTTGCCCAAGTGAGAAATTTGCAAGTGTTTGAGTGCCATCTACTGCCTAGATCCTTTCAAGATACGCCATTTGTTTAATGAATTCACAAAACGTAAGGACATATTTCTTGGTGGAAGGAAGGAAGGTAATGTTCCTCATCCAGTGTGCTTTAACATAAAGGGTTGACATGCCAGTAAATGCAAACTGTTTTTACAGAATGGTTTGCTATGGTAAACTGGTTTCATTTATCAAAAAAGAAAAATGATCTCACACAGAAATGCCCTATTACATGTAGGAGCCTATCTGCAGAAACACATTCCAGGAGCTTCTACCAGGAATATTATATTTCTTAATCCAAATATATAAATCTGATATTTGGGACATCTCATAATTTGATAGAGGAATAAAGACCAATGCTATGTTTGTACCAAAAGGGCTTAGGGATTTGATCATATTCCAAACATTATCCCGAAAGCTAGTCCTGTTAGTTTCTTGCAGCGAAAACAAGAACATTTCTTTTAGGCAGTTTTGAGACTGCATGGTTTTCATAGCCTATTGTGGACAATAGTTCATTTCATCAGATGCATGCTGTAGATTTTATTCAAAATGAACATATACAAAGTATGGTGTGCACAAGAAGTGCTCAAGGCCTGCTTCTCTTCCCTTTCTCCAGGATTTTAAAAAAATACTTTGGGGAAGATAAACAGGAAGCAAAAGTAATATCTTCTGGTCTCAGGGTTTATTTGTTTGCTTCCTGTTAGGACCTGAGACATAGAACAATCCTTTTGTCCTGTTCACTTTGTTCCTGTTCATGAATGTTTAGAAAATGATGTCTTCCTGAGAAGTGTCTCTTCTCAGACATTGGAACATCTGAACATCCCTATATTGGGCTGCTTGCATTAATACTAGGGATATTTGTTTGTGTAACGTCTAAGGCCCTTACGCCAGGAATCCTCAATTCTTTTTGCTAGAGCTGACCTTTGAAATTTCATGAGTGTATTGTGGCTATGGTGGCGGCCATGTTTGCTTCATCCATTAACGAAATGATAGGTATACTGGGTGTGACCACGCAAAAAAGAAATCAGATGGGGCAGAGAGGCTGGTGTACTCCCAGCTATGTATAGGTTTAGTATATCCACAGATACCATATTAAGGGCTTTCACCCTAAGCTGTCAGTGATTCTTATTATTTGTGAAACAATGAAGAGAGGAGAAGGACAAGACTCTGTATAATCTTATCTATGTTCAGATGTTTTTAAAATAGGAATTTAGCAGAATGTTAAATGGAATATTCCTTTTTTTTTTTCCCCATAAATGGGATGAGATGGACTTGAGCTTTTTAAAAAAATTAATGAAACCCTCAGTTTGTTTATGTAGACAGTCTGGTAACCAGTCTCCTACCAAACTGCCATTAAATTTCACCCTTCTGCCAGTGAACTCCAGCCACTTAATTGCGGATGATAGCTCCCAATTATGGGCTGATTAGAATCACTCACAAGCCAGCCAGCACTTCATCTTGACCACATCATAACAAAGTCATCTTGGGTTCTTTAAGTGACATAGAACTCTTCCCTGCTTTCCCCCAAATCTTCTTGCCCTTGAAAAGGTGTATTGTTCCCAATAAGTAGTGCCATATAATCTACATTCTTTTTATTATGTCAATCTATTCCTTCAACTCATTGTTTATCCTTTTGGTGATCAGCAACCACTAGTACCACTTTTATCTGATTCATAGGGACAGTAACTTGCTATACAGATTTCAAAGTCTCTGTTTTAATCCCTGAGATCTGAAAGAATCCCATTTGTCTTGTTGCCTGTATGGAATATATGGCTGTCATGGGACATCAAACTCCACTGGGTTTTTCAGATCTTGCAAGGTGGCACTACAGTTCTCCTTCATAACATCACTTATGGGGATAGTCATTATTGTTGTGTAAGCTTTTGGAAATATCATGATAGGGACTTTAATAACCCCAGCAGCTAAGTCTATATCACCATAATCTACAATTTTTCCATCAGTTTTCCCCCCTCTGTCTGCTTCCTCTTCTATTTTGCCAACTGGAGCTTTTGTGTCCCTTTTAGCTAGTTATTAAGTTTCCTGTCACAAAGGCAGTCATGCTACCCTTCTCCTGGCAATGGATGCTGCTGGCAGTCTTATAATCATGGTGTCCCAGAGGTTCAGATCACTGACTTTCTTCCATCTCTTATTTTCTGAATGTTGAATAATAAGTGCCCCAATATTAACTTCCTGCCCAGTGTAGAAATTCACAAAAATTGGAAATTTGATGAATGTCCATATTCACCATGTACTGTAGTTTGGGTGTTAATTTTTAATCAGACTTTAATCACTTTAAGCTTGTAGGCATGATACTTTTCAAATTCTGTCTAATACTAATTATAATAGAAAATTACCATCCAGTTTGATGTACTGGATCAAACAGGTTTTTAAAACAGGTTTCCAGAGAACCTTGTATCTTGAAAGCTTGTCAGGAATTTCTTAATAGGAAGATCAATAATAGCAGATCAACTTTTCCAAACTACAGCTTTTTAGACTAGTAATTTTCCTTTGTATCACATGGAAGTATGCTGTTGTTTACACATTAATACATTCTCAATAAAGCATGTAGCTTGCACAGAGCTGGCTAACAAAACAAATCGATGTGGGAAAGATTCAGTCTTACGCAGGCAGTAATCACCTGCAACTCACTTTTTGAGATAGATAGCCCTGCCCCCAGTATTCCAACGTGCCCAGCTGCCTACAAAACCTTTGCTTTGAACATGAAAATCTTCTCAGGGATCTGTGAGTATGTTTTGACTAATGTGCTTACGATTTCTGCCATCAGGATGTCTGCTTCATTAGGATTTCTTATTGCAGGAAGTCAGTGGGTAGATTCAGCCAAAGACTTTACAGAACCCTCTGTCTATTCCTGCATTCAATAGTCGAAGATCAAAACCTATAGATAGAAGATAGAGCCGGGAAGGATTTGGAGTGGTGTTTACATGTATACTCACATCCCTCCCCCATCTAGTTAACAGTATTTGCCTCCACAGAAATACAGAAAAATCTAAAAACATTTACTTATTAGCCACTAGCTATCATAACTGTCAAATATTAAATACTGACAAACACAGATACTGAATACTCAGTGGTTATTTTTAATTCAGAATCACACGCGATGACAACATTTACAAAGGATATATTTTTTAACAAGAATTGTAGAGGGGGAGAAGGATTACTTCAGTTCTGAAATTCTATAGGTTCTAAAGTAAGATCTGCTCTGCAGTTTCTTAGACCTGTAAGATTATTCCTTGCACAAGTGCATTTCACCCAGATTGTGATAAAATGAACCAATTATGGCATGCTGTTAAGTGCAGCTACAGAGAACATTTATGGCTATATTCAGAGAGCAATCTTTTATTCAGTCAGTAAAAATGTCAGGGAATTGTTATAATAATTTGTAACTCCCAGGTATATGCATACGATTATGCTGGATATTTAGAACAAGTTTATAGTATGAGAATAGGGAAATAACCTTTGTTCCAGTGAAAAGTCATTAATGTTATATCTACGGAATAAAGTCTGAAAGTCCTTCTTCTCCACAATGAGATCAACTTGTATAGAGTGTCCTGAGAGATAGAGATTTCCAAATAATCTCTTTCTCAGTGCCTTGCCTATTTATGTGCTAAGCAGAATGCTCTTAGTGCTCTGATTTTCTTCCAATGTATTTGTCAAGGCATTTTTGAAGACTGGGTCCTTTTTTTACTTTTTTATAGTTTCTAATCTTCTAAATCAAAGGTAAAGTGGAGAGAAGCAGCAAGGGCCAAGGTTTCTGATATCGCTAGTGGTAGAGATATATCCTGCTTTTGGGTAAACTCTGTGAAACCAGTTGTCAATATTTCCCTTCACTCTAGCTGCTACACGGAAAGACCATGAAGTGGAGTGGCAACTGATGGTTTTCTTCAATTCCAAAGCACTTTAATCATATTCACAATACTGTACTTTTTCATCATGGCAGGAGATGACAGAATGTTGTGACAATTCTAGGAAATGTTTTCTGATAGCCCTTTCTATAAATTATGAATGTTTCACAAAGTATAAAACTAAGCACAGTTGTCTTGCTTTGCTCATTGTCAACTGTTAGTTAGCTATTAGAGTCTTTGATTCTGACCTGATCTTATTATAAACTTTAAAACAGAATACTTATGACCTAAGAATGCAAATTTGATTCAAACTGAAACAAAGCATAATAATAATAATAATAATAATAATAATAATAATAATAATAATAAAAATTCAAACAGCCAAGCACTTGCCACACACCCCATGCTTAACAACTGATGATAAGAAAGACAGAAAAATCTGGATAGTGGACATTGCAATACCTGGAGACAGCAGAATAGAAGAGAAAGAACTGGAGGAAATCACAAAATACAAAGACCTACAAACAGAAATAGAATGACTATGACAAAAGAAACCAAAGATAGTACCAATAATAATAGGCGCCTTGGGTGCAATCCCAAAACATCTGGAGCACCGCTTGAACACCATTGGCATTGACAAAATCACTATCAGTCAATTGCAAAAGGCAGCTTTACATGGAACAGCTTATATCCTCTACGATACCTTTAACATCATCAAACAACAACATCTGCCTATCCCAGGTCCTTAGAATGGACTCGATAGGACATAAATGCCAAATCCAGTCTAAACATCTGGCTGTGTAACCAACCATAATAAATCTACCCTTATGCCTACTTAAGATCTATGGCAAAATGCATTTTCTCTGGATTGTCTTGCTAGATTTAATAGATGTCTGTCACACTGTGAAAGGTGTTTTCGGGAGCAGGGCCACTGACCCATCTTTTGCTTTGTTTGAATCTTTTGATATTAAAGCGACCAGCAGGGGGTCCATGGTGGGGAGAATCAAAAAAATTAAGATAACATTTGTCTATGCAGTAGAAGCCCCCACTCATTTTTTAATGTGTGTTGATTTTTTAAACGGCCCCTCTCCTCTGTAGATGTCCCTGGCCACCAGTGACATAACTTTTAGTGACTCCAAGTGACAAAGTGAACTAAATGAACCTCCTTTTTATGCTCATATCTGAATATTCATGCATAACTAGATGTATACTTACAACATTAGCAATCAGCACAGGTAGTAGTGATACTTATCCAAATGTTATAACTGTGAATTGTAGTATGAAAGGCCATAGAAGGCCAAAAATGGACACACACAAACCCCAGAAAAAAATCCTTTAAAGTATCTAGTTCAGCTTCTACCTCCTGGCTCCCTTTTGATAAGTTATGCCTACTTTTAATCAGTCAATAAAGTAAGCTTTATTTGAACATGATTTTCATTCAATATTGCTTTCTTAATCTTAATTTGAATTTCAGTTGTTTACTTTATAAATCATAGTTCTTGTTGCAGTATATTTGCTTATTATCTTTGTATTATAACTTTGTTATTATTGTGATAATATATTTTTCATTCATTGTGAACAACCCTTCAATTCTTTATGATATATAGTATAACTATACTTAATACAAAAACAGATGCATAAACAGTACAAGGGAAAGCATTCTTTCCTCCCTATCTCCTCCAAGGCCTGACCAAAATAAATTCAGACTATAATCAGCTATTAACATCTCTCTTTCTCTCTCCCCACCCCCCAAAAATGGTGGTGGCATGGTTGGAATCATACCTTTTTACAGCCATGGCATTACACTGTTTTAACTCTATCCCTAATAGAGTTTGCATCCTCTGCATACTGGAATTTTGGTTCTGATTTCCTTATCAAAATTGCATGTATCTATTAAAATAAATAAAGGTAAACATCAGGAGTGCCCACCTTCTTGCCAGGCTAAAGGCCACATTGGGCTTTCAGTTGTATATAGGGGGTTGCAATCTCATAGATGGGGCTAAGACAAAGAAATAGGTAGAGGTATGACAAAATTTGATTTAATTTAATTTCAATTAAAATGAATTACATACTGTCGATAAATTTACTCCCCATGTAACTAATAATTTTCTCCTTTTGTCCAAAAATTAAAAATTATAGTTTGGTGGTAAGATCTGGAGAGACTCAGCTTGTGCCAATCCTGTTGCAAGATTCTGTTAATGTAGTTGAAATAGAATTAGCTTATCTGATTGTGTTTCCTATCTGGTCTACCTAGTAAGGCTGACATCAATCTTGTGAGCCTGACAGTACAATTCTCCCACTGTCTCCTTTACAGCCCAAGAAAGTAGGGAGGATCCCTTCTGAGCCTCTTGCCCTGCCCACTATCCAGCTGCAGGCTATGATGTCTCTCATTCGTTCCCTAGGCAGCATCTCTTCACCCTGTCTCCCAAGGTCTTTCCCATTACAGTGCATTCATATATGTATGTGTTATGTTTTGTGTTTATGTGTGTCTGTGCACTTATGTGTTTGTATATATGGACATGGTTTAAATAAAGACTCCCTAATGCTTATTGCACCCCAACCACCCAAAACAGATGAGATACTTATGTTGGGTTATGCTGATTGTAGGTGGTGCCCCAAAGCAAAGTAGCTGACTGTAAATACAGTGATAGTTATGAGTAAATGGTGGAGCTCATGCTAGCCAGGTGGAGAAAGAGGATGTAGATGAAAATCTGAGGATTACATCACAAAAGCACACCTTTGATGCCACAACAGAATTTGTAAAGAAAAGTAAAGTTCTGACCTAGTCTACACACAAAAATGCTCCTTTCAATCTACTGTTTTCTGCTCTCACTCCCAGCCAATAGAATCCTCCTGCAAAGAAAGGCAAACAGAGGCAAAGCAGGAAGTAACTCTTTGATTGAGACCTTGGATGCAACCAAGGATAACAAACACTTTATGAACACTTCTTAAAACTCATCACAGGTAGTCCTTGTTTTGTAACTGCCTCAGACAGTGACCATTTGCAGTTACAACAGTGATGAAAAAGTAACTTTGCAACCATTACCCGCATTTACAACCTTTGCAGTGTCTCTTAGTCACCTGTTCACCATTACAGTCAGTTAGTAGCTTTGTCCTGTGCCTGACTTTATTTTTCTTTTTTCCCCCCTTGCAGAGTGAAAAAATTGCCTAAACAAGCTATCACTTTCTGAGCTGCTTTTCTCCACAGCGTAACACATCCTAAAAAGTGCTAGCTGCAAGTTAACAAGCTCAGCTCTGTGACCTTAATTAGTTAATTAGAACCCTCAAGACCCTAATCAGTTTCACACTGAAGGCTTTTGTTTGTCTCCTAAGGAGAGCTGAAGTGCAATCATAAGCATGGGCATGGTCACTGATTTTCACTTAGCAACCACTCAGCTTAACAACCACACTACCAGAATCAATTACAGTCACTAAACAAGGACTACCTGTAATAGGAAAAGCAAAAAGCCAAGTTAGTTGACCAAGCTTTTGAGGGATGAATAGTTTATTTATTTGTTTGTTTGTTTATTATTACATTTATAGGCTATCCCAATCTGTACAACTCTGGGCAACTTACAAGATACAACAGTAAAACAATAAAAATAGGATATATAATGCACAAAGAAGGTCTGGAGAAAAACAATCAATTAGCAACCAAACCACCCCACAAAGATCCTATCACCCATTATAACCCAGGGCCTATGGATAGAGCTAGGTTTTTAAGGGCTTGTGTAAACCAGGACAGGGTGAGGGCTGGATGAATCTCAGCAGAATTAAGTTCCAGAAGGAGCATGTTGGTGTGCCTTAGTATGTCAACCAGTAAGAACAGAGGAAAAGAAAGTATAAAATATAGTAAGTGCTAGAAATCAATGGAAGGAA